GGGGGGGACAGTCTGGTTTCTAACCTTCGGGACAGTTCCGAGCAGAGCTGTCCCCGAGGAGGGGCGTGGATGGAGGGAGGTGTTCAAAGAGCGTCTCATCAGAATGCAGAAGGCACCGCCGCGTGTCCCCTGAGAACTGAGTCTATGTGCGTCTTCCATTCCTCCCGGGAGTCGATCTTTTCTCTTCCCAGCAGGTGTTATCTGGAGTCTGTCTGGACTTCTGGGGAGTTTCGATTACTATTTTGACTTTAACAAATTATTTTTGATGAAGCGATGTCTCGAACTAGATTTCGTACCTTCTGGACCCAGCTGAGGGCTGGCCGAGGAGGGCTGGGCTGGGGGTGGGGAGTGCGGTGGTGAGAGGTCCCCTGTTGTCCCTTGCAGATCGCTGCTACTGTTTTGCCCGCGGGGGTAGGATGTGGTGAAAGGATGGGGCTTCTCCCTCCCCGGGCTCACAATGGCCAGAGAAGATTCCGTGAAGTGCCTGCGCTGCCTGCTCTACGCCCTCAATCTGCTCTTTTGGGTAAGTCAAACAGTTCCACTGCACCAACAGGTGGGGACGGCTGGACCCGATTTTTTACAGTCACTAGATAAAGCGCCAAACGGCATGGCTAAGCATTAATTAATTACATGGGATCACACCCACCATTTTTCAGAGAAGTCAGTTTCGACCGTCTTAAAATGCCTTTGATCTAGCTCAAGTTCCATTTGTAATTAGAAAAAAGAAATCTGCTACTGGATGCTAGTGGCAGTAAAATTAGACTTGGAGTTAATCTCGGGATATAAATAAATGCACGTGCTTGTGCTTGTAGATAAAAAAGTCATGACATAGTACTTAGGGAACCGCGCGCGTTTTCAGGAATTTCAGATAAATGTGCAAGCCATAAATTTTTTCTTTACGTCATCTTAGCCTATAAAATCTGGTTGGGGCAAGCCGTCTTAGTAAGTTTTTGTAGGGATCCATACCCAGATAGCCTATCAAAAGATTGGGCAGATTTTCGATGGGATTCCATACAGTCTGAAAAGGTGGTTTTCATGTAACTGTTTCCAAGTTGGCAAAGCGTTAGGGAATTTTCTGTATGCTTTTGGAAAAATCCCATAACCATTTAAGGAAATAAAATACATAAAATTTAACAAGCTCATGGAAATCTTTATGTATGCCTTACGAACTAGTGACTTTTTTATGCTGTATGTTCGGGCATCAATTTTTATAAATATTATAATAATCACATTAATATTTATAAAATTTATGAGGAAAATCTAAAAATTGAAACTTTCAGAGTTGCTTTAGGAAGCTGTCATGCTTAAACAGATTTTTTTTGCCATATTTTGTTTTCCATTAAAGATTTATATTTAAACTGTTAGAAATTTTAATTTTATTTTAAATAAATTTTATTTATTTGGCTGGCTGGCTCGTGTTGACCAGTCTTTTTCAGAGGGCTCTTACGTGTGATCTCTGCTGTTGTTGTTAGGTGCCTTCAAGTCGATTCCAACTCATAGCAACCGAATGTACAACAACGAAACACTGCCCAGTCCTTTGCCGTCTTCACAATCATTGCTGTGTTTGAGCCCATTGTTGTAGCCACTGTGTCAATCCATCTGGTTGAGCGTCTTCCTCTTTTTCTTTGCCTCTCTGCTTTACCAAGCCTGATGTCCTCCTCCAGGGACTGATCCCTCCTGATAACATGTCCAAAGTATGTGAGATGTAGTCTTGCCGTCCTTGCTTCTAAGGAGCATTCTGGTTGTACTTCTTCCAAGACAGATTTGTTCGTTCTTTTGGTAGTCCATGGTATATTCAGTATAGGATGACATTTTGGTAAAGCTGCTCCTTATGGATGGCATCATTTTAGGGTGGCAAATTAAGCCTTACTACAATGACTGATGTGAAAAATATCTAAAACTTCAGCATTTTTTTTCTTAACATGAAAATTAAAGCATTGTATAATTAAATTTACCATTTGAAAATGTAAAATCACTAATTGATCTTCCTGTTTTTCTTAAGAGGCATATTTTTAAGTGAATCATTAAATTACCTGCTTAGCTATAAGGCGTTAAGATTTTGAGCTCTGGTTCTTTAAAATATATAATTATCATTCCTACTTGCTAGTTTATCACTTTTCTACATTATATTTTCTAATTATGGAATTATCACATTTTATAATTGAAACAAGCTTTAAAGATGACCTGGTCAAACTTCCTTACTGTGTGGATAAGGAAACTAAATACAGGTGCAGTGCCTTGCTCAAAGCCAGATTGTCCACCGGTGATGGTACCAGGAACAGAAGAACTCTGCTCTCTTGCCCCTAGACAGTGTCATTAATGTGTAGCCCTAGTTTTGCATCTTGGAATCACTAAGATTTTTTTATTTAAGAAAGAATAATGCTTTGGAAAGTTTCTTAATAGTCTGCATTATGTGTGTTTGGTGGGGGGCGGGATAAATAAAAATATTTAACAAAAATGTTGCTCTTCTGAGAAATAAAATTTGCTTAAGTGTACCCACTCCTTAAATTCTTCCAAGACTGTTTGTACCTCTGAATAATTTAAAATGCTATTTCATTGTTGTTATCATATATTTCCACTTTGTGGGTGTGTGTGTTCTGTAATCTATCTATTTTGGTTGCTTCCCCCTTTCCCCAGTTTTGACTGCTTGCCCTTTTTCCCTATTCTGCCAACATCACCTCTCCTCTCCTCCAACCAAGTAATACATGTTACCAGCCTAGTGTGTATCACTCTGTGTTTTTCTTTGTTTCATACGAAGTTATATTACTCATACCTGTCCATATATGGAGCCCTGATGGCGCGGTGGTAGAGAGCTCCGCTGCTAACCAAAAGGTCAGCAGTTTGAATCCACCAGCCCCTCCTTGGAAACCCTATGGGGCAGTTCTGCTCTGTCCTATAGGGTTGCTATGAGTCGGAAACAACTCGGCAGCGATGCGTTTGGTTGTTTTTTTTTTCCTTTTGGTCCATATATATCCATTCAAATTCATGTGCACTCGCGATTTTTTGTTAATTGTTTTTGTCATTTGGGTTAGATTCCCAGGAGTGGAATTGCTGTGTCAAAGGGTATGTAATAACAACAACAACAAAATAGTCAACATTTATATTGTTCCTACTCTGTGTGGCAGTAAGAAAATGTATTTAATATATTTTGCCCTAAATGGTTTATCAGTTGATTTCATGTATGGTATCTGTTGCTATACAGTAGTTAAAATTTTTATAATGTTAAATACATCCTTCTGTTCTTTTAAAGCACCTTCATTTCTTGTCTTGTTTAAGATTTCTGTTTCCATGTGAACTTTAAGATTATTTTATCCAATCAAAAATATTTGTTGAGATTTTTGTTGGAATTGTATGAGATGTGTATGCTTTGAGAAAATTGGCATTATTCTTTTGATAATAAAGCCATTTCTGTAGATCCCATGTTTAACTGCTGAGTCAGAAGCATTTTGGAGCCTGTGCTGGGCACATTCCTAGGCTCCCTTGCGTTACCCTCTCATCTAATTCTCAAAACAGGCCTGTAAAATAGTGTCTTTTTTTTTTTTTAATTCCCATTTTATAGGTTAAAAAAAACCTGTAGAAGTTCAGTAACTTGTTAGTATGTACCAGAACAGGGATTCAAAGTCCAATTTTTGCCCCCTAAGTGCAGGAGAAGCTATATTACCGGCAACGGTGGTGGATTTATTTGCAGCTGAGGGGTAATGTAAACATCCTCAGTACAAAGGGATTAGCTGTGCACCTGCCCATTCCAAGTCCTCTGAGCGGTGCTTCTCAAACTTTAATGTGCACAGGAATCACCTGAGTATCTTGTAAAAATGCAGATTCTAATTTGTAGGTCTGGGTTTGCACCTGAGAGTCTGCATTTCTAGAAAGCTCCTCTGTGATGCTGCTGCCACTGGTCTCCCACTTGGAGAATCAAGGCTTTAGTACTTGTTTTTGTTCTCATTGGAGTTAGAAGTAGAACAAACAAGTGTAACATATGAACCCTTCTTCTTGAACCAGACTTCACATCCTGGACATGGAGAGAGTAATTGTATTTCCCTTTGCTTTTGCAAGATTGAGAAATCTTCTCTCTTCACCTGTGGGCTCAAAAGCTGTAGCCTTTTTCTCTTTCCCTGCATTTTTGATAGACCCATTACTTCTGTTTCTACTGCGTTGATACCCTCTCCCCTTTTCTACCCCACAAGGATTTTAGGGAAAGGAAAAGTAATTCTTAATTGGGAAAACACCGAGAACCTGCAGTATTTTGTTTTGCATTCCGAGAGTTGAAAATCAAATTGAGTGGTTTTGTTTTTAAAGTAAATATTTACATATCTTGAATATTTAATTTTTTGAAAAGTGTGAGACATCAGTGTGTCTAAAAGGAACAACTCTCAGCACATTCAAGATCTCTTTGTTGCTATGGATCCAGTTACCTTGATTTGCCATGTGGAGTGGCTATTCCATGTTGTGTGGAAGCGTGATCTCAGTATGGCTGTAACGGGATTGGTAGAGGGTTAATAGACTTTCTAGGTTTGTCATGAGTGTTGTGGACTTGTAATGGGAGGGGGGATATAGGGCACATAGGGGACATAGGACATAGTGCACATGAGTAAACTGTCCTTTGAGCTCATTTGAGACCGTGATTCACATTCTGTCCATGATGGAGCAAGGAAGTGGGTTATTTTTCTCCAAAAATTTTGAGCTTTTCCTACTGTAATGGTTTATTAGTTGAATAAATGAATATTTTCCTCCAATTTTAGAGACAACGTCTGTGGCTTTATGATATGAGTGCTTATTGTTCTTTGATGATAATTTTCTGCTATTACAAATACGGACAATTCCTAAGATTGGCTAACACAACATCCTTCAAATATGCGTATTTTTATTATTTTCTAAAAGTATAATACACCATCTGTAGTTTTTAACTCCCATTTCTCACAATCAGATAAGAACTGTTCTCTTTCACTTACCATTACTCAAGATAATAGCAATAAGGAGGAACTGCCCTATTTTACAAGACCCTGAGTGGTGCACACGGTTAATGCGCTCACTGCTAACGGAAAGGTTGGTGGTTCAGGTTCACCCAGAAGTGCCTCAGAAGAAAGGTCTGGTGATCTACTTCTGAAAAATCAGTGACTGAAAACCCTATGGAGCTCAGTTTTACTCTGACACACATGGGGTCACCATGAGTCAGAATCGACTTGACAGCAGCTGGTATTGGTACCCTGATTAAATGTGAAAATAAACTTATAAATAAAAGACTAAGAAGTAGACAAGAAATCTGGTTTACATTTTTAGAGTGTGTCTTAGTTATCTAGTGCTGCTGTAACAGAAATATCACAAGTATTTAACAAGCAGAAGTTTATTCTCTCTCAGTTTAGAAGGCTAGAAGTCCGAATTCAGGGTGCCAACTCCAGGGGAAGGCTTTCTCTCTCTCTCAGCTCTGGGGGAAGGTTCTTGTCATCAGTCTTCCCCTGGTCTAGGAGCTTCTCATTGCAGGGACCTTGGGTCCAAAGGACACACTCCTCCGCCCAGTGCTTCTTT